ACTCTCATTATTGTCATTCTTATTTTTTTAACATTATTATTGGTTTTTGTTCATAATGCAAAAGACATACAATTGCTGTGTATTTGCTCGGTCAGGCTTCAGTAGCTCCACCAAAGCACAAGGCCATATTTGTAAAAATGATTCTGTTGTGCTATTTCTGGTTATGCTCCGGAGAGCACAGACTCTCTTAGAAAACGCCATTATGGGAAGCTAATTGTAAAGCGTAAATGTCAGGTATGACTAATGCATGGCCTGTGCAGAGAAACTGTAAGTGCCTAATGTTGGCTTTCAACGCTTCGGTGGACGCAATGGAAACACATTTGCTGAAGCCCACTTTTGCAACAACATCAGCAGAGCTCAGATGTGAATCACAGGCCCTTAGAGATCTGAAGAGGCACAAACCTTTGAATCATGCATTCTTCTTTGAAAGGACTAATTCTTTGTAGGGCTTTAGCAAACATTATCAAGCTGGGCCTTTTTCTATTCACACTGCATCTCATAAAATGGTGACATTTAGTGTGTTGTGGAATGAGGAACTGCTGTTTGCATCTCGGTGCTATTCTATCAAAACCGTGCATCTTCATAATGTTCTATTTCTACCTACATCTACAGAATTTGATGACAGAAACTGACCTTTACTTTGAGTGAACATTTCATGATGAGTGGACCAAAAGACATGGTCCAAAATTAACTGTTATAAAATCTTATTACTTTAACTTCCATTAAAAGTTAAAAACATTTTAGCTCCTCCTGTAAGGTTACCAATTAGAGATACATGCTTTTGTTAGGACAGCAACAACATGTAGGATGTCATGTCGTGAGATCACATCACAGATGTTCACGATTTGGTACCCCTGTTGGTGAATTGAAATGGGGCTGAGGAGTGAGGAGAGGAGATGTGAGGAGATGAAGTAGAAAGATGTAAATTAATTGGAGGTTTAATTGGAAGGAAGAGGAACTGCTGGTAAGGTCCTCCCCCCAAAGTTTGCTTATTTCGTAACTCCATTTTTTGCATTACTTTGTATAAGTGTTTTGTGTCTAAGTGTAAGAATATAATATTAAGCAGGGGCGCACAACTCCAGTCCTGGAGGGCCAGTTGCCCTACTCAAATGCACCTGCTAAACCTGGCAATTAACACATAAATGTAATCAGGTGTGTTTGAGCAGGTAAGTCACCAAACTGTCTTGGACACCGGCCCTCTAGGACTGAAGTTGTGCATCCTTGATGTTAACGGTCAATACCAAGAAGGTTTTTCAGTCATATGTCATATGTCCATGCCAAGAACTATGTAAGAACCTTTAGTTTTAGGAGTGCACACGGGTATTTCTAAATGCTATCATTCACCAGGCCATACTCTGTACTTCTGAGCAAAATACCTAAAAGCTTATTTTTTCAAGTCTACATCAAGCAGAGATGTTTTGATGGTTGAGTCTATAAGGCTACAATACAACAGAACAGTGCCAGCTGGCATGCATGTCCAAAGCCTATGAGAGCAAAAGATGTCAGCTTTATGTGTCTTTCACAAATCAAACATCACTTCAGAGAGCCAATGCACTTCCCAAATCAAGTTATGCAATTTTTGAGAAATATCAAAATCATACATTTGTCCTGGTTGGATGGTGCTGTTTTCATACCAAACCTATGGAGTCTCATCTTTAGCACCTTAATTTCCTAACTTACTGACTGTAGTTAGTCTGTAGTTCAGTACATTCTGCTGTTTCCTGCACCATGCAGTGCTATGCCTTTTTGGTATCTTTTGTAGTCACAGCCCTCCAAAACTGGAAAATGGCAGGACAAGAATAGACCGTTGTCCACTTATTTGAAAAGCCTCTTGGAATGCCTCTTTTAAACCTGCATAGCTGAGAGCACAGCAGAGCATCCTAGCCAAATCATATGTGATGTTTACATCTTTCACAGTGATGTGATGTTTATATCTTTCACAGGGTCTTTAGAAATACTTACTCGAGTCACGTATGATGTGTTATATATGACCGATGGGTATGGTCAGAATAGCAGTGCTTTATACATAATACAACATATCGTTCTTTAGGTGAATATACCAGCTCAGGGTTAGTTGTAGAGCAGCCCTGAAACTGAAACCATGGATATGAGATCAGCCCTTCCTTTTGAAAAACAAGACACTTTCTTCTAGTGAATCGAATAACCACAGAGACTTGACAAGGTGAGATTTTATACCTTTTTCCTCACTTTCAATTCCACAGTGAAACTTCCAGATCCAGATGTCACTGTGGAGCTTGTTACTAGAGATGGGCATTCAGTCACATTTGATATTCGAACAGGGTACCATACATCAGATGCATCATGTAGACAAACACAGTAAAGAGCTAAGCGCTACTTAGCATTTCTCTATTACTGCAGTATATTAAACTCAGACCCAGGCAAGAAATTCATAGAAGCTTCAAAATTAACACTGAGAAAGATGTCAATCTGAAGTCTTTAAGATAAACAAATTGTCTGTTTTCACCTCAGCTAACATTACTGGCCACATTGTATTTGACCTCTTATCTTTTTGCTCAGAAACAGGGAGTTTGTGAATAGTTAGAGAGCTCCTAACAAACCTGATGAACTCACTTTATGAGTCATTCTCCATTTGGAGTGGGAAACCATGTTGCAAATGTTGCAGGGCTTAAAAAGATGCTTAAAATATTAGGCACAGCTCCAAAAGTTTATTTACACAGTAAGTAAATTTACACAGTTAAGATGAAATAATACTTTTCCCTTATGATTTCTCAGATTTTTCCCTTTTTTCATTCTGTATCATAGTCGCTCTGCGTATGTAAAACAGCTCATCACAAAACCAATTTTCAACAATTTGAGAAACCATTTTTAATATAATACAATATTTTTAATAAGTTTCACTTAGGAATTTGTATAAAATAGATTCATGTTTACTTTTTATATCATTAATGTTATACTACATTTAAAAATATGTATTTTATTTAAAAATTCATTAATCACAGAGATTTTGGTCACTGGTGTTATCAGGACTCTTATGTTACATTTTAACATAGTATTTTAAGCTCTATTAAAATGCTTCCTGGGGTCAAAGCTCATCAGAGAGGAAGCTTCTTAAGGCATGAGAAGGCGTCCACACTTGCTCAATATATTTCATTAATTTATTCGTAATTTTGTTCATCAGGCAGCACATTACTTCTATGTGTCACTGGTGTTATGTGCTTTAATGGCTGGGTATTTAATTTTTTGTCAAAGTAATGCCATACATCATTTTTATTACTGATTTGAAATAGTTGCACAAGGTCAACCTGGTGTCACAGTCACTTGTGTTGCACCATATTCATATAAAACCAGTGACTGTAAAATGTTTGGAATTAAGCTCTCCTTTTTGCATACATGATAATAGGAGATGTTAATGGACATATTAAGATTATTTAGTTTTGGGATGAAAGAAACTGATTTTTTAAAAATGTATCCACCTGAATTCCCACTCCAAATGGAGAATGACCCACACGATACTGAAGTTAATTTCATTAAACCCATACGAGTGTAAAATGAGCCTGACCTTCTTATTTATTGGCACATTTCTGAAATGCATTTTATGTGCTACAGCTGCACTTTGTACCATTTGCTACCCAGCAGCAGAGGCCCTCTGGCTGACCCTCTGATGCAGAGCTTCTCATCTGGTGTTAAGTAGCCTTAGCTGGCTGCAGTAGTCTTTCTATGTTTCACTCTTCAGACTAAACAGCTAAGAAACTCTGACCAAAACGTAAGCCAGCATGTTCAGTTTTAAAGTATACACATCTCCTGGTTCTTCAATATGAGAATGTATAACTGTTAGAGAGAAGCTAATTTGCATCCTAATTTATTATTCTTACTTTCATTGAATATTCGAAAACTCTGACTCATTCTTACTCATTACAGCTACAGCTTGTCAAGCTTTATGGCTACTGTTATCACTTTGCTTGTTTTAGCAAAGAGATGAAGCAACCATTTAATGTTGTTATTACATTTTCACCGCTCTGAAAAAAAGAGAAATCCAAGTTCAAAAGGTGAGTGTGCGTGTGTTTGGGTTTAGCACGCAATACTATTTTTGCATGTATGAGACCAAATTCAAGCTAAGTTGGTCTTGCAGTGAGGTAGCCAATAACCGACCACTGTGCCCACCATATGTTGATTCTCATGCTCCACTATAGCCTTGCATGGAGGCTTGCCATACATTATTAAGCAATTAAATTTTCTTCCCACAAGAGATCTGCTTTGCCAACTCAAATACCAATCTGTTAAATGATCTTGTTCGATCCTGTTTGGATGTATCACTGCAACACTCATAAACCCATTTCTTCTTTTCATTCTTACTCCATCTGTGTTTGGCTGCTAAGCAGACCCGGAGCTGAAACCACACTCAAAGAAACTGAAACCTTTTTGGATATGTGGGGGATGTTTTTGTTTTCTGATGTTGTTTTTTTGGTCAGGATTCAGAGGGTGAATGCTTTGTTTTTCCTAGCCTTCCTCTATCCACAGCAGGCGTCCTAAGGCCAGAGAAGTGAAAAACACCACAGCTTTGAGCTCGGACAGAATGAGGAAAACAAAGAACACAAAACATGAAGCGTGAGCCCTAAATGAGTGGGAACAGCACAGAGACCAGCAGAGGCCGTTTTCATATGGAGCGGCGTTTCTCTCGGACAGGAATACTGATGTAGTTCAACCCCCATTGTGGGCGCACAACCAAGCACAACATCAGTCCTTCCTCAGTTCAAAACCATAGTGGATCAGATTTCAGTATTCATGCCACCACTGTCAGTGAGGAAAGTAAACATATAAGAGGATTTGCTTTTCAATCCTTGGTCAATATTGTTCAGAATTGCCTTTCCAAGCAGATGGTGAGATATGGCATCTCAGTATACACAGGACTGTAGTGAATGGTTTGCAGATTGGTGGTCTTGAAGTACCCAACACGGCTATTTTGAGCCCTGGACGCTGATAATGCTTTTAACTGACTGAGTAAGTAAAGAGAGGGAAGTAGACCGTTGCTTTACATCTCTTCGGGTTCATAATGGAGCTCAACTGAAGAGGGAGAAAACAAATCCGAGGGCACTGGGGTTCTCTTTTGATCCTTACGTGGTGTCCTTTGGAATGGTCTCCCTCTGGATTTTCTTAATTGGATGCCTTGTTTCTCCCTCAAGTTTATTTTCTGTTCGCCTGAAATGCTCTCATTCTTCAGCAACCACACAAAGTTCAGATTCCCAAAGGAGCTGTGACTGCTGTGGTGTGACATGAGGCCAAGCCACATCTGTGCAAGCTTTCCATTCACTCAGGTGCTGCTTTGATGAAAAGTGCCCCAGCTTTCCCAAACGTCCTCTCTGGCTCCATCCCTCTCTTTCTAATTTGGGACGACAGGCAGTCGTAGGAGGGGGAGGGATATGTGTGAGAGGGAAATTTGCCAAAAGTTCAGAGGCGTTGCTGCGATTTGAGAGGGTTTTCTATTTCCTTATCCAGTTCTTCATGCTATATGTGACCCGGTTTGGAGAGATAGGCGATGAGGGCCACCACGACGCCCACATAAACCCCTGTCCCGATGGTGATGGAGAGAGCGGCCAGGAACAGGGCCCGTCTGGAGGCGATGCTGGCCATGGGGAAGTCTCCCTTTGTCACGGCTTTGCTAGTCTAGGAGAGAGGAAGAGAGGGAAAAGGATGGTGAAAGAGAGCCAGGATCAAAGGCTATAGTGATCCCCTTTTCTCTGCACGAGGGTAATTTGCCAGAGCTATTTATTGCTCCACTGATGACGCGCTTGAGCGAGGAGCATATTCAAATGGGAGAAAGCCGCGCGTTCACATATGTCTCTCTCCCAGCGAAGGGAAAAATTCCCAAATGGTATGAAAAAGAAAATTAAAAAAGAATTTCTTGAACAGAGAGCTTTGATATCTGGCAACACTTTCAAACAAGTCACTTTGAAATGTGAAAACTGTTCCATTACAAAAAGAATGAAAGCAAAGGACACAATGATTATGACAACTCTCACAAGCAATGCAAGAAGGTTAATAGGTCTGTAAAACAATATGGCAACTCACATTTTATACAAATTAACATCTTTCCCTGAATAGAACAAGAGATCTAGACAGTTGAAAAGCAAGATGCTCTGTAATATCAGCATCAGATGGAGCTGTCGTATTATCAGTGAATTATACTTTTGAACCATGTTTCAGTGAGAATAGCGTCTCGTTGAGGGGATAGGACTGCTTTTAGCTTTGAAATCCATTTCCATTAAAGATGGTGCTGAAATCCATTTCCTTTAGAAATGGCACAATGTCATTTTCTTATTTTCCAATACTGATATTGACACCTTAAGTATTAACTGGTACAATACTTTTTCTTTAAAAACTACTAAATTTTAAAAGGAGCTATTTTTAATTGAAGTGATTTGTTTAAGAGTAAGCTATCATGCTCCTCAAATACTCTACCACACCACAGGAACAAATAACAATATGACATCATGCAATGTGAGAGTGTGCTATTTCAGAACAGATTTGTTATAGGATTCAATCAGATTCATTTTTCCCTCTTATATCCGATCCAGCTGGTATTGGCTCTGTGCCATCTCTCATGTCCAGGGCTGTGAAAATTCTTTTTTAGTTGTTGCTTATCAATACTGTTAGCAATACTGTGCAAAAGTCGTTAACTTAATTTCCACTCGTAACGGCCATTAAGTAAAAGTTTTCTATGTATTTTCAGGATCTATTTCTGAGATTAGATATAAGATCATCCACTTGCATAAGGAAGAGGGAATCAAAAGAAAGTCAGGAAATAAACCAAAAAGAATTTTCAAATCAAACAAAAAAGTTTCTGGTGCAAAACAATAGACTGACCACCCCAGAGTCCAGACCTGAACATCACTGAATGTGTTTGTGATTAGTTGCACAAGCATAAAATGCAAACTTCTAAGACTGAACTTCGGAGGTGTGGAAAATATCCCTGCAGATTCTTTAAAAAAACTAAAGGCAAAAACTAGAAGTTGTGATAAAGGCAAAGAGTGGACACATTAAACATTGAAAAAAGGATATTATATTGAGGCGATGTGGCGTTTGTCCATTAAATGTGTTTTCTGCTTTTTCCTGATGATGAAAATTAAAATCTTGTGCTTAAGGGCTGTTTTAACTAGAAACAAATGAAGACTGGTCTCTGACTTCTGCATAATCTTGTTATATGTCATATTATTGCTATGTAGCCATTTTATTTAAATTCCATAAAAATAGGTTTTACTCAAACTGAGTTCGTTTGATGCAGGAACATATCTGCATTATTCTTATACACTATATAGACAAAAGTATCGGGACACCTACATATTACTCCCACAGAAGCTTTTATGACATCTCATTCTAAATCCACAGGCAATAATATGGAGTTTCACTGGAACTAAGGGTCCTAGGCCAACCCTGAAAAACAACCCCATAGCATTATCTCTCCTCTACCAAACACTTGGCACAATGCAGTCAGGCAGGTAATATTCTCCTGGCATTCGCCAAACAGATTTATCCATCAGACAGTCAGATAGAGAAGCGTGATTCGTCACTCCACAGAATGCATTTCTACTGCTCCAGAGTCCAGTGGTGTTGTGCTTTACACCACTCCATCCGACACTTGGCATTGTACATGGTGATGTAAGGCTTGCATGCAGCTGCTTGGCCATGGAAACCCATGCCATGAAGCTACCAGAGCACAGTTTTTGTGTTGATGTTAATGCCAGTGAAAGTTTGAAACTCTGCAGTTATTGAGACAGCAAAGTGACTGTTATGCACTATGTGCCTCAGCACTCGGCGATCCTGTTCTGTAACACAAATGTTTGTGGCAATGAGACTGAATGAAACATTTGAATTCAATAATTACGATGAGTGTCCCAATACTTTTGTCCAAATAGTGTATGTATACATGCAGTTATATTAAGGCATTTTACAATATTTTAATTACCTGACTAAGCCTATGTTTGGGTCCAGCAATCTTTTTTTTCCCATTTTGACCTTCTTTGAGGTGACACAAACCTTACTTCAGCAGTTGATGGAGCACATTATTGTCTTGAGCCAAAGTGCCCCCCGGTGAGATGCTTTTTGATTCTCTGGCTGTAATTGTAATTTTCTTTGTTCCGGTGCTCTTGTCTGTGGCTGCGCTCAGTCCCGGCTGGCTTCCCCACCTCAGCTTTCTCCGAGAAAAAGCTTGCAGGCCTGAGCCACACTCAGTGGTGTGCTGCAGCCACGGGGGAGCCACACAGCCTGTGCCATAAAGGCTTTTCATTTGCACGCACCTTGTTTGTCACACGTCCGTTTCATGTCACGAAGAGAGCCTTTATGAGGAGGAAAAACTGTTAGTGAAAGCGAGAATGCAGAATCAAACGAACTGAAAATGCAAGATGTAACTATTAGTTTCCATGCCAACATGAAGCATGCGAAAGCAGCGTTGGATGCCATTGTTTTCGACAATTCTGGGGAATTCACAGTAGGGCCACTATTTAGAGTGAAAAAACATCTCTTTTGACTTGTATACTCTCCCCTGAAGGAGGTTTTAAGAGAAGAAAGCATCTTAATGTGGCCGTGAACAGCTTTATCTAATAATTTCATTCCCTGAACGCAGAAGGAATCTGCACCGAAGGCTGCAGCTCAAAGGGGAAGCCTCACTCGCTCAAATTTAATTTCTTTTATAACATCATCTATTAAGCAGCCTGTAATTGTTTAATCAATCCATTCCTCCAGTTTGGATGAATAATTAAGTGGTGGTATGATGCTCGTCTCCCCAAGGACAGGGTTTAAGGGGCTGATGGAGTGTGGCTCGGTGAACAGACTGCATGTGATACTGCAAATAGTGTCTGTATGGCATCAGTGCAACAAGTCAGTACTAGGCATGGGAATCTCTGAGCTCCTCACAATTTGACTTCATCTCCAAATGCCAAGATGAAAATGTACAATTCTCCTATATAGGTTTTTTTCTCATAATTGTGCATCTTCACAAGGAGCATTAGCTAGTCAAATTTGAGTGTAGCCTAAACGTGGCACATTTGTTGTGCCTACAGGCCTACAGTCAAATGCAACAGTTTGAACACCCCCAATGAAATGACGTTCTTTGTTGACTTTATACATAAAAATAAGTCAACACGTCCTCTATAGGGAACAAATGAAAATATGTTTTTTTTCTGCAAATTCCACTGCACAATTTCTATTTATTGCTAATTATATTGAGTTTAGCATATGAAAAAAACAACAAAACATAAAATATGCCATAACTTCCACACATTTTATGGTTTTCTTTTTGCCTTACTTGTAAATTCAGCAAATAACCCAAATTCAGCTAATAAAGTGTGTTCTCTGTAGAGGACGTGTCAACCATTCCACTTAGAAAATTAATAACACATGTGATGTGAAAGTTAACTTATGTCTGAGATGTCCCGATCCCATCCAGTAGAGCTGGATTAGAGCCTATTTAGGCATATTTTAGTGGATTGATATATTATGCTTTCTAGTTCTGGTTTTAAACTAGCTTTAGCTAAGAGAAAAGAGCAGGGTATGTTGATGTTTTATGCTTTGATACAGTATCTAAAAATAGATTATTTCTATTCACCCGCCTCTAATGAATATAGTATTCTAGAAATAACTTTTTTGCTATTAAGAAATCATTTCTTTTGCAAATTATTAAAATTTGTGTTTATCTAAGCTAAAAAAATACCTCACTTCTTTATCATGGTCCCCTGGGGGCAAAATCAAAATGAAATACAGAAAACAGTTCTCAATCTACTGTAATTGCTTTCATTACCTCAGATAATGTCTATGTTTCACATTTCCATCGCCCTGCTCATGTGCTTGCTGCTTTGCTGAGACTTAAATAAATCCAAAATTACATATAGCAGATGGCTCGGTGAATCTAAACAAAGCTCAAGGCTTTCTCTCAGCACAGCTTTGCATTTTTAAACTTGCCCTGCATCCTCTGTTTCTACAAATGGATGTGGGAAAAGTAATGTTTGCTGTGTTTATGCGAGTGCACTACTGCGTGTTCATTTGTCATGGCCTTTTGTACTCCTGTGTCTGTTTCAGCAGACGTTTCACACCACAGCACGAGTGTGAGCTGCTGGTTCACACATGGCTGCAGGCGTGGGAGGCTCACCGCTCTCTGTCACTGCGCCTGACCCCCTAATCCCAGGAAAACACTATCGATTTCTACTCCTTTGCTTGGCGACGGTCAATAATGCGCTGTTTGGCCACCAGTTCTGAGACGCTGAACTCCGAATTATCATGTAAACACGCTTTTGTCACTTTTGTTCGCTTGTACATTCACGTTTACTCAGAGAGATATTCTTGTCAAGGTAAGTAACTCGTCTGCTCACTCACACATACACACACACCTAATTGCATCACTCTACATAGAAAAAGAATGACATTAAAGAATGTTCTAGTGTTTTTCAACCTAATCTCTTTCTGTTCTGTCTACAGACACACGATTACCATGTGCAATAATGTTTCCTTGTACATAAAAGAACAGTAAAAATGTTGATTCAAAACATTTATAACAGAAGCCAATAGGCAGTTGTTTCAGCTTTTCAGCTTATTTTTTAAAAATTGAGTTTATTCATTTATTTAATTTGCTTTTTAGTTAAGACACAATTTTTACTGTGATTCTATTCCTAAATGAAAACAAAAAATTATAATTATAAGTTATAAAAACTATACGTTTTTATTTTAGCAATTTTTAGTCATGTTGTGCTTGCAGTTTCAGTTTTCAGTTTAAATTGTAAAAAATCATTAAAATCATTGTCTGCCCCGTGTTAAAATTATTTCAATAGTGTTATTAAAATTTATTCCAAGATTTTTATCAGTAGTGTTACAAGAATATAAAATAAAAAAACAAAAAAATCAGCCAATAAAGTGTGTGTAGAGGACATGTTAACATTTTCACTTAGAAAATCAATAAAACATGTGATTTGAAAGTTATGTCTGAGATGTCCCGATCCCATCCAATAGATCAGTTTTAGAGCCAGTTTAGGTATGTTTTAATGCACTGGGTAAAGGCTACATTAATGCTTTGCATGCTACCAGAAGCATTTACAAAATACACTCCTGCCATACTTTTCACTCGCGAGTGAGTTGAAAATGAAACTGCAGAAATGTTATGCTTTCTAGTCCTGGTTTTACTAGCTTTAGCTGAGAGAAAAGAGCAGGGTATGTTGATGTTTTATGCTTTAATACAGTATCTTTCGAGAGAGAATTGCAGTGCATCTAAGAATAGATTATTTCTATTCACCCACCTCTAATAAATATAATATTCCACAAATCACTTTTTTGCTACTAAAAATAACTTCTTGTGCAAATTGTTAAAATTTGCATTTAAGAAAGCTTAAAATTATTTCAAATTTATGAATATAATGTTATTTTGGTGAGAAAACATGTAGTGTTACAGGAATATAAAATGTCATAATATATATATATATATATATATATATAGCTGCTGTCAGAAGAAAACCTTGTATCTCCACTTATCATTTTTCAGTTTTTGACACAATTTGAAAATGCCTGCTACCCTTTTCATTGTGTGTAAATACTTGAATGGACCAAAAGAAATGGCCCAAAATGACTTGGAAAAAAGTCTGGTTCCATTGACTTACATAAAAGTAAAGTATGTTTTTTCCTTTTCCTGTAAAGTTATCATTTTGGAGATATGAGGTTTTCTTCCGACAACAGCGATATATATGTATGTATATATACATACACACACACATGATCATTTGGGATGTCTCAAATGAAGTAAGACTGTCAGACATTAGGCTGAAAAACACGAGCGTTCCTTTAAGGCTGCCGTAATGAATGTCCCGATTGTTGCTGCAGATTTCAGACTGACGTGAAAGACATACACAGAGCGCATAGAGAGCTGTCTTCTGAAAGTCATCTTCTTTCCCCAGACACTATAGCCAGATGTACACTGAAAAAGGTACACAGAGGGAGGGGCAAGGAGCAAGGAGTGGGCGGGCCCCCTCATTACTATTCTGCTGTGCTCCGCCGCTAAGGAAAGAGAGTCTATTCAGAACGTTCTCTAAGGAAGGTGCTTGGTGTGAGCAGAGGCAGGGTAAAAACAACCCTATCTCCACCAGCCTGTCTCTAACGCCAGATTCCACGGAGAGACGGGTGAAGGCGTCAGCCGCTCTCTCTAAACACCACCATCATTATCATAATTACTGCAGGAGAATTAAATTAGCCCCTGACAAGATAATTCACTCGGTGCCTCCGCTTGCCACGGCCTAAACTGCAGATAAGAGCAAAATGTTTAGTTCTGGATTTTAAAAAAAGAGGAAAGAAAAGGGCCTGTCTGGAGAGCATACAGCATCTTGTATAAAATGGAAGTTCAAATAATGCTTTTCACAAAATAAATAAATAAATAAACACAGTGTGCATTGAATTTGTTTGCACTGTTTGTTGAATGCGAACAGAGATAATGCTCGTCATGTTTTTGAAAGCTGTTTGCTTTAGGAGAAATGGAATATGATGTTATCAGGGGGACCTGCTTCTTTTGATAGAGGACCTGATTAAAGCTTTGGAGAGATTATAAAAAACAGCAGAGCAAAGACTCTGAAACATCGGAATGGAAAAACAGATTGACAGCAGGCAATAATGGCAATATATAAAAATTCCTCCTATATTGACAGGAAAATGTAAAGGTCATCATTGGTCTATTCATGTTCCACCCACAAATACTTAGTCCACTCACAAATGCAAATGAAGCAAACATGAAGACTGTTGATGGACAAATTTTACAAAACTCTGGTAAAATCCCATCAAATGGAGCAAGAAATAAACTCAGCTTCTGTCAAAATACTTATATTGAGAGCGCATTATTAATTTCAGATATTGATTTTATATATCTGTGAAAGATGTTAAGATTGATTGATTATGTTGTATAATCAAGCTGAATGTAGCTTTTGCAAAATGGACTCAATCGATATTAATATTATTTTATAGCTGATGCCACAAAGGCTAAAAACTCTGATAACTGATCATATCAGTTATCAATATTACATTAATATTACATTTTTTTTCATTTATGCCCAAGTAGTTTAAGTAACAGAAATTTTCATACTCAATTGCTACAAAATCAAATACAAATCAGAAATTCACAGTCTTAAAGAATGTAAAGATCGTAGCACTGAAGTTGGAGCTCTCTAGTATTTGTTGCGGTCCTGGTTTCTGTTATTATTTTTTTCCCCTTTAGTTCTCTTCACAAAGAATGTTCTGTGTGTTATGCTATTTATGTGCTAAACATTAGGTTTAGATATAGTTTTTGTGACACCATGATGGTGTTCAGATTCATCAGTTCATCATGTATTACTGTCATATAGTTAAACAGAGCTGTCAAAGTCAAATGTTTTGCTCTATCACCAAAAGATCACAGGTTTAAATCCCAGCAATGCCATTATCAAAAAATCCAGAACTATCAGCAATACCACTAAAACCACAGGTCGTTAGTTTTGGGTGTTATATTGATGTGGCTCTAATGCAAAATGGTGAAAAGGTACAGTTGGAGGACGTGTTGTAGATGAAACTCTGCAGAAGACCACAATACCAACTTAATATAATAAGCACACCCAGTGTCATTGATATGAAGCACCACAAGCTATTTGAGCGAACTGCTCCCCCTTGTGGAGAATCTTCAGACTGCTAAATGTGAGGGAGTTACATGTGAGTCCATGAGGCACCTTATATCTAAAAAGAACAACAGTAGTCTTCCACTCTATGAGCCTGTTTACACCTTGCATCAACATGTGTTTTCAGTGATCGGCTCACGTTCAGCTTTCACTTGACCGCCCATCTTTGGACGATTGGATCACTCAAACCACATTCAAAGATGGATCTTCACCACATTTAATGCAAGTGTAAATGGAATGCATGTTCATTATCTGTATACAATTACATGAACATGCATTCCATTTATTTATTGACCAGGGATTTCTAGCAGGTAAGAGAACAAACAAGAAAAGGCAAGATACGCAAGGCTGTCCATATGTCCGAACATATGTTAATGCAAGGTGTAGTGAGTGACTATGACTAACTGTTGGTTGTAGGAGCTGCTATGTGTTGGCTTTGACATTAGCCACTTTGGTATGTTAGAACATCTATGAACCTTTTGCTTAGACTATCAATTCACTTTTTATCTCTGAAAACCTCTTAACAGTGTAGTCTTTCTCATGCATATAGGCCTGTGCCGGTAACAGAATCTTCTTATTTGGACAACCATGTGGAAAACAAACGTGGTAGACATTTTTCATTTGGTTTACCTTTTATTTGGCAAAGAGCCTCAACTCACACTGTTACTCTGTGCTCCGACATCTGCTTCAGACTTAAAAATGAAAAGAAAACAATGTTATTTTTATTATCTCTGTAAGTACATCTGCTAATGCTTCCAGGAACATTACTGATGATGTGTCAAGAAGCAATAGCAGCTGTGCTTGCAGAGATATTACAACTAATAAAAGTAATAAAAGCAACATTTTTTCTTCTGGCAATTTTTTTTGACCTTCTCTTACTCTGATGTGGATGTGAAGCAAGCACAGTAATAGCATGTGAGTTGAAGATCTTTGTCAAATAAAAGAACACAGTAAACACGCTGTCCAGTAAAAGTTGCAGTTGTAGTATATTGTCATCTTTAGACAAAACTAGTTAACCTAGTAATAAAGGATGGAATTGTGAATGTCGTACAAACTTTGCCTTCCAGTTGTGCATGTAGCCGCTTAGAGAACTGAGACATGACAGTGTTTAATCCCAGGAGCACTCTGAGGATGTGCTGAAATGTACACTGTACCACAGATGGTGTTTTGTAGCTCTCTAGGCATGATATCTGCCTACAGCACCAAGTGCATTCACCCACTGCAGCTCAACAGCTTCATTTCTACATCCGTTTCAACTACTGTAGGTACAATGAATGTGGTAGAAAGCACAGATCACATGTGTAAAGTTCAGTTATCTTTATATGTGGGAATACTAGTGTCCTCCTATGGTTTGCATTAACCAGTGATAAATCAGTTAACCATAAATGGGCACAGGCCTACATGCATCCAAAATAATATAAGCTGAAAATGAAATGCAGTTTATTTATTTTGGCAAAAGCTGAATTATGCGCTACAATGTCTAATAAAGTTAAATGGAATGTTTTTCAATGTTCTGTAAGCTTGTGTGATGTCTCAACAGTAACTATAAAGCAACATATTTGTGATTTGCAGGTGGAGCATGGCTAGGTCAACTATATCTGAGCAAAAGCTGTGGTCACATGACTGGTCCTAGCTATAATTAGATGGGGCTATCAAATCAATTCAATTTCACTATTACAGTGCTTTTTATTCTATTTTATTCATTCAGCAGAGTTCAAGATGGAAACCGAGACATATGCACATCATTCATCAGCAACTTTGTGTTATGATTTAGCATTATTTAAAGGCCTGAGTTGTGTACGCACCCCCTGAGAGAAATAGAAGGCAGCGATGCCCAGAGGCCAGAAGCAGCAGAGCATGGAGAAGATAGCCAGTCCCAGGTGATCGCGAGGAGGGATGACGATGAAGTTATCCTCACTTTCGCTGTCGCTGGAGCAGTCCGTCTGTGGAGGAGAGAGCACATTTAGAAAAAGAGCAAAATGCAAAAATATTGCGCCCTCGTATTCACACATGCACTATTTACATTCATTTATGCATATACATATTCATAGTATGTACTGTGTAAACAGGCATGTTGCGCAGTATGTAAATGTAATTTCACATTACGTTAAGACATGTAAATATAAGCATGTACTATATTTAAAATACATCAAATAGCACATGTTTATATGCAAATATAAAGCTTGAGTATTTCTAGGCCACAACAACAGCAGCAACAACAGCTTCTGTTTTTCTTTATCGTAGATTTCCATTGATTCTTAAGAGGACCTAAAAATAACAATGCCTGTTAGAGAAGGTGCAGATTTGAAAGCAGTGATGAAACTGTTTTTGCTCGTAGAGCTGTGGCTCACAGCAATAAGCTGCAATCATCCCTGCTGAAGAACAGCGCTGTCATTGGGGCTTTATCTGCAAAAACAAGCTCTCTGTCTAAAATAACGTGGGATATTAGATTGGATTTCACATGGTGAGGAGGGGGAATGGCTTATGTGCTCATGTCTTGTTGGATTTTGTCATTGCCTTTACTCCTCAGCTGGTGGGAGGGAGGGTGGGGAACAGTTGTCTTTTGCATTTGCATGTCAAACTTTTTTTCTAGCCTTTTATTGGTCTCCATGATTAATGTTAAACAAATGTCTATGAGTTCCTCCTCCTATTACCTCCACTGTGTTTTTTTTTCTTTCTCTCCCACTCTCCTCTCTCTCTGCTCTTATCTACACCTGCTGTTGTGTAAGAGGATATAAATATTTCAGTGGAAATGTGTTAGTCATTGTTCTGTCTACAGCGCACTGGAAGTTTAGCTGTTTTCCGGACTCAGAACTGATGTAATACGAGCGGCGGCATGTAAAAACATTTCCTTCAAAGGATGGACGCGTTTCATCGCTGCCGCCTGTTACAGAACTTTTTAAAACATAAAATTCCTTGTTTTTAGAACTCCCTTGCAATTTTGAACCAGTTTTACTGGATACCCTACTGAAACTGTACCGTTTACAGTAGATATTCAGCAGCGTTTCAGTTATACTCTGGCTTTCAGAGGGCTCTCTTCAAAACGTGCCCAGATTATAATAGTCTGTTATAATGTACGCATATAAACACTCATACGCAGTCTCACATTATAATGTTCTATTTTGTGTTGTACAGTACAGTTGAAATTTACAGTACATTTGAAAGTGGGATGGCTCAGTCTTTGGCACTGCTTTCAAGCTTTATCTCTGGGAAAACAGACTGAGTATTTTTTAACAAAGAGTCCATACTGCTCACATGTGTTCCAAAATTCAGTTCAAAAGCAAAGCTAAAAACAATACAATATAATGTACCAACCTATACAAACCCAGGCGTTAGAATAGCTAACATATACCTAATTTTATGCAAAGAAAACCCGAAACAAATGAGCTCTCACAGGAGAACTTCAAATCAGATGTGGCTTCACTTTTACATTCAACTTAATAGCGGCACTTGTGTTAAAGAAGAGCCAGAGCAGCAAGAGACAGGAGAGATGGACTTTGACTTGATTTGATATTTCACATTAACTACAAATACATTGTTATAAATAATGTAATGATTCATAAATTAGGCCAGGGTGTCCAGTCCTCAGGCTGAATGTGGCCCATGGACAAATTTGAATTGGCACACAGCTTCTCTTTTTAAAAAAGCACAAAGTTGACAGTGAGAACTGGCAATTTCAAGAGAGGTGGATATTAGAATTGGTCATTGAGAACCATAGAAAATGTGGATGCCTAACATGTCAGGAATTTAACATCAAAAAACATAATAAAACCAGTGGTGTAGTTATTTGCATGTATGTGATCTGTATACTTAGTCTATTATCAGGCTGTTTCCATATCTAAAGATGAATTTTAGTGTATACCCACTTATATTTTTTTATTCCAAGACGCCTTACAAGTCAGAGAGAAGAAAAACATCTCATGCGAGTTTCACAGAGCACAATGTGATTAGTCAATTCCATGATTAATTAAATAATTTTGACTGGTTCATTTCCATCCATTTCTACAGCTACCACCATGTTTGAGTCCATAGTGTAATGGGTGACACCTCTGCCCTCCATGCTGGAGACTGAGGTTCAATTCCTTGGCCCAGGCAAGTACCCTGTGCTAAACTAATAAGAGTCCATGGGCAAGACTTCTAACACAACCATCATCTACCACTGTAAATTCAAATTGTAAGTCGCTGTGGATAAGAGCATCTTCCAAAAGCAGTAAATGTAAATGTAGCAGGACATGTTTACTAACCTTGGGTTAAGTTTGCTGAAGTCAAACTAGTTTTCTGTGAAACTAGTGTTTTAGCAGCTAAGTAGGCTATTAACAGAAACAGAAATGTTTATAAACAAGAGGGCTGTCACTGATGTCAAGATTTTAAAAAAGTGGTTGTAAACAATTCATTTCTCAGGGATAACCACTATATTTGTTTTTTGTTTTGTTTTTAAATGTTGTGTCCATCCAAAAATAGATGAAGAGACAGAAGAACGTGAAGCTGTTTATGTGAGCTCATGGGTCTCTGACTTACTGTCATGGCAATGCAAACCCAAATCACCAGCGTTGTACAGTAAATTGTATGAATAACAAGTGAATAACTGTCTTTCAGCATTTCAAATATAAATAAACAAAGACTGACCACTTCATTAAGTACACCTAACTAGTTTCTACACTCTTTGTCAATTTTATCAGATTCGTATAGATGCACTTTGTTGTGCATAATTACAAACTGAAGTCCATCTGTTTCTCTGCACACTTTGTTAGACCCCTTTTACCCTGTTCTTCAGTGGTCAGGACCACTACAGGACCACCACAGAGCAGGTATTATTGGGGGGGTGGATCATTCTTAGCACTGCAGTGACAGTGACATGGTAGTAAGATGTTAATGTGTTGTGCTGGTGTGAGTGAACACAGCAGACACAGCAGTGTTGCTGGAGTGTTTAAACTCACTGTATATATATTGAATCAGTATCCACACCCCCTCCCCTCCACACACACACACACACACTTTAAAACGTTGTATTGTTTTTAAGGGATGAGCTCAAGTTTCATTTGAAAAAAAGGGCTAAAAAAAATAAAACAATGATCAAAAAACTCCTCTGGCTTTCCTATAATTCAAATGCTAATGTTCATACATTTCATTCTTCTGTCTTCTTACTTATGTGCCTTTAATTGAGCTTCATTTTTAAAATGTATGTATTTATGTTGTTATTTCTTACTAATGTCAATCAAGGAGAAGTTGCATTGCAGAACTGTGATGCAAAAACCTTTACAAGTCACAGCTGAGATTTATACAAGAAATTATGATTTTACTTCCTGCAGTGCTAAACATTAACCCCAAAGCAGACCTCATACCTCAGCATCTCTGAGTAGCCTTCATGGTCAAGCTAATAAATGTCTCTATGCTTTCTTTTCATACAATCACGCAAAAGACCCAGCATGGTTCAACTGAAGTGCTTAACAAAAGCAACTTTATGTTGTAGGAGTTCACAGCACACATGTGCTGTAAGCTAAGTGCGCCGACTGTCTGGCCGGTTACCATGGACCCAAGACAGCTATACGCATGCACATTTTCTGATTTATTAATTATTTATTAATAGGACCTTCTAACTCATATTAATCTCTTGTGTCCTTTTCACTGTATCTTATTAATATGTCTCTGGTTAAACCTCACAGCCTGGATTCACAGCCTGGTCTAGTCAGCTCCTGTATGGTGCTTTTTTTTAAGAGTGACCCGTCACCACCCCGGAGCCTCCTGACAGGTCATGACAGATTAATAGATAGTTTTATCCTATCAGGGTGGCAGGAGCCACAGGAGAGGGAGTATGTAATTTATGTTGCCAAATTGCCTCCCCAGCATACACAACGAGCAAATTCATTCCCATTTTTTGCCCTTTCTCTCTCCTTCTCTTCTTCCAGTTCATTTCTCAGCTAATAGTACTTCACTTCATTTCAAGGTGATAGATTCTGGTGCTTTTGCACTTATTATGTATGTGTCATGTATGAGGGTTTTTCCTCAGCGCCCTCCTTAGCTGAGAAAATCGAATCTATATATCCTTGTAATTAGCTGCTTAATCAAACTGCTTCAATCTGAACCATTTTTTTTTAGCCATAAGAGTGGTAGCTTTTAAAGTAGGGATGTGCATTCAGACAAATTTTGATATTGTTGTCCATAACTTGTATGTATATTTTGATATATAAGTATCCATAAGAGTTAATAAACAGATATTTGATTGACTGAAAGAGTGAAAAAGTATAAAAGGGCTTTGGCTTATATACGCAACAGAGTAAACTGGTGTACTGGTGTTAGCAGGCTAAAAAATCACTAGCACAATGAAAAATTTGGAAGCAGGTGTATGTGATAATGTTTAATTGTTTAAAAATAGCTGAAGAAAATATTTTGCTCACTGCAGGGTTACACCAGTAGGTTATTTGTTGGCTTGACTAACAGAAACTGCGTCTTCAGATGAGCTAACGAACTAACATTAACACTAGAGCTAATCAGTGCAGTGGTAGATGGTGATGACTTGTGGGCTTCTAGAGATTTTTGTGCCAACATGTAAGTTTGTCAAGATGACACTGGGAACAGAAATATATTTTATAGCTTTTGGCTCTAGCTAACACCAGCTAGCCACACTAGCATTATCTCTGCCTTCTCCTAATTACACTATTAAAGGAATGGTTTGGTGAACATTTTAATTTACACAATTTTCCACTTGCGTAAGATGTAGCCAACCAGCCAAGTTTGGTGTGCAAATTTTGCTTCTTTAATTTGGTAAACTACCAGTGCAGGAGCTGTGAGGCTAATATTGTTAAACACTAGAAGTCAGTAGTCACCCAAATTTTTTCTGTAAATACGTGCCCAAAACATCTACAAACCTGCTCAAACTGCATCCAGTGCTAATCTAAAGAAGCCACATTTGAACACCAAACATGTCTAATGAACTACATTTAAT